AAGCTCAGTGTTCTTCTTTTTTGGCTGCACTCCTTCCTGAGGGTTTGCCTCTGGGGGTAATTTGCATGTATGATTTGGCTCGCTTTCATTCACCTGGACGCCCTTCCTGATGCACCTTCCTCATTTATCAGGTCTTGACAACTGCACTAGAAGACACAGATTGTGTTGCCCCTTGGCTCTGTGTGACAGGCAACTTGGCATCAAGTGTCCTGCCCAAAGACACATCAGCAGACAAACCTGCTGGGATCCTGGCGTCCAATCTTAACCTTGGGGTTGGAAGACAACCTGGTGTCTGTGATGGACAGAGAATGCTTTATATTCACGTGTCGACGCCAAGGTTGAACTAATCAATAAAAATATTGATTTATTTATAAAACTGCTTTGATGAAAATCTGGTTATTTATTAATACGTTTATTTTTACACATATATGGTTTGCTTTAGGTTTTGCTGCACGGAAATAGTGGGAAAAATAATCCATAAGTCAATAACTGCCAATTTATGGACTGCCAAATTACCATTTCAATATTTTCCAAAACCGAAAAATAATTTCCTAATTATTTTTCAAAGATTAAAAAAATATTCTTAACTTCATTTTTTGCAGTGGCAGTAAACAGATCATTATTTTGAAATTTCCAACACAATATCTGACACCAACATCATTTATTTATTTATTTTTTGCATTCTATAGAACAAACGGCCAAACAAATTTCAAGAAAATAGAAATAAAAAAAGATTGAATCAATCAGGAACATAATCTTTTTCTCAGCTGTCAAAGCAACACAAAGATAAATTAACAGAAGAAAGATGAGTATAATAAATACTTAAACTACTTAGATACATGTCATTACAGTAAATCATAGTAAATGATAAACATACTTTGGATAACTAGGTTCAATGTAAGAATAATGCTGACTACGCAAATCTCACATCTTACTCATAATTTCCTGATTCATCAGCAGTGTTTGTCATACATTTTTGCCTGAATAATCTGCTGAAAAATGACAAACTGAATTCCTTCCAGGAATCACTGATGAAGCTCGTGACAAGGTCCGAGCCACGGACTTGACCAAGCATTTCCACCAACACTGCGGTTCTCATGATGGTTGTTACACTAAGTTGTTTTCAGGACAGTATTTTTTTCTCCTGCACAAAAAGTGAGTTGGATTTTGCAGAAGGAAACATGAAAAAGCCAAGTTGTTGTTGGCTGTCTTCATGTTCTGTTCTTCAGCCCAAATGAGTCTCCAGACATGAGTGTGAAGCAACAGTCTGCTGCTGCAGATGCAGCTGGAAATTCCTCTCACCTAACCTCCTGCACAAAGGACCGGGGCTTTGGATATGGAAAAAGAAGGAATAATTCTCCTTGTTACTCACCAATGCTACGGAAACTCTCAGACAAAGTTCTCCTCAACTTCTTCATTTTCCCGATTTTCTCTGCGGGCTGAGAGGCTGGCATCAGGTCGCACATTTCTCTGGTTTCTTTTAGCCTTCTCCGACTTTGGCGGAGGACAGGGACGGACAGCGGGGTCTGGATGTGGTTTTGACGCGGAGAAGAAGGCGAAGGGAGACCGGTGGAATTTAAGGAGCGCAGCGGGGCTTCTCCAGCCCTGCTGCCGCTGCTGCAGCGCACAGGCACAGACAGGAAACCGGAGGCTGGAGTGCGGCACTCACTGCTCTCATCAACTCCCCAAAAACAATTGTCCTCTGGAGATTTTCTCAAGATTGTTACTACATTTCCCAGAGAGAGAGAAAAAAAAACAGACAATAAAAGTCGGCGCAGGAATAGAAGCATCCACTGACGAGCCGTGCAGTCGGTGCGTTAGTGGAGTTGAGAATCTACAGATGAGCTCCTACTCTCACTTTCTTTCCTCTCAGTCGACCCCTGCTCCACCGCAACCCAGATGTCATTTTTGGGATTTCTCTCTCTCTCTGCTTTTGAGCCACAGGCCCCGCCTCTGTGTCTGGATTGGAGGAATCTATAAGTAAAGAGATTTTCTATTGGATCCTCAGGTTGTCCATCAAACCCATTGGCTCCGCCCTAGAGTGTTGCAGGAGGAGGAATATTTTCTGGTTTGCTCTTCTGCCTGATTCAGCTGCTCTTTCTAAGACCCAGGCAGAGGTATTTCCCCCCACATACGAGCTTCATCAGCAAGTTACACATACACTTTCCGGCCACTCGATGAAGAACACGTGCAAATATCTAATAAATCAATCAAACACAGTTCAAATGGGTATTGAAACATAAGCTGGTCGACATTTCTATTGAGAATAAGAAAATAACTGGGTTTAAAATGAACATTGATTTATTTCAGACAGTAATATAGCTTTGTTTTCAGGGGTTTGCAAAATGGGGACAGAGAGAATTAAAATTTGTTCATTTTTAAAACACAAAACCTAACCTGGGGTTTCTGAACATGGTCAAGATATCATTACAAATGCAATGCAACATGGTTAACCTTTTTAAATCCACTATGGCTTTTAAAATATACCACTGTTGTTGTTGTTCTTTTACATGGTATATGCTTTATAGACAACCAGTTGAGATCAACTCTCAAAAACATCCTGTTCCACTAAATATCCCCAAACTATCAACTCCTAAACTCCAGAGGGGTTAATAAAGTTCAATGTTTAGCACCGTGAATACTCTTCCAGTAAATGTGTGTGTCAAGCTCTGATAAACATAGTAAAAACAAAGCTCTTTTCTTACTTGGGTTTAATCAATTTGAAAGGCACATAGTAGAAACATTGCTACGTCATGTGGTGAAGAAATGTTAAATATAAATAAAACTGTTGATGTGTTAAAAACAGATGAAGTAGTTGTAAAAATAAACATATGAGAAGAAAAAGAAATATTTTTTTTTTTAGTATTTTTTATTCCTGTGAGGGAAACACAGCTGTTGCTACATATTTATTTTTCCCTCACATTGTCTAAAATGTGTAAATGTGGCAGACACGATCATATCCTGTCAGGTCGGAGTGTACTCTTCTACTGTTGACATGCTGTCTTCATGCTACAGTATGTAGCCTGACATGTTTATGTTCCTCCGTCACCCCCGCAGCCTCTCCACTGATTCACAGCCTCTATGACACGTCCCAGTGTCTGAATGCGGCCCTCTCAGTCTACAAACATCTGTGGAATGCTAAGATGTTTGCAGACTCTTCCCTCATTACTTGGACCAAACACCCGGAGCTAAGAGAGACAAATGAGTAGCTTCATTAGTGAGAAGTGTCCTTCATCACAGTGTGGAAAACGTCCCTAACAAATGGACCAGTTTACCTGAAGTGAATAAGAACTTTGGTTATTTATGGCATAGTAGAGAATAGGATCAAGGGTACCAAGAGGAGAGGGGTGAATGAAGAGTTAGAGTGACACTGTCAGATGAAGCAGATGGCAATAAGGCCAGTTCATGTGATGGATTTCTCCCATCAGGCATTTTGGGAAGAAAAATGCTCTTCACTCCAGTAAACCAACACCTAGAGGATGTTTGTAGACATACATCATGTTTGTCACTGAGTGAAACCACAGATCTGTGGACAGTACGTGTTTAGGGAAACTGGGACGGATTAACAACACACTAAATACATTTGTGGCTCTTCAGTAGAAAACACTATTTAAAGCCATGGTTGACCTCTTGGTCTCAGACAGGAAGTGGTCTAAAGCAAAGGTCTTCATCTGCTCCATCTTTCCATTAGTTTTAGGATCTTTGACCTAAATACCTTTGAAAACACCTGATCTAAATTATATTTTATATCAGGGATGGATATTGTCCTTTTTGAGGGATGTCTCAACTTTATGATTTCCTGGATCCTATATCTTCATAACACTAATGTTTCAAAACTGTTTTTAATGATGAATTCCTCTTATGTTATCATTATCTTAATTAAACTAACTTCTAAGGAGCCGTTCTATGGCTGACTTTTAGACATTTCTATAAATTCTTGTTACGTCATGGATTGTCTGGCTAGAATTTAGCTATCTTGCTAATATCTAATCCAGGTGTCTTTGATCAGACTGATTTTTTTTGCCATCTAAACTAGCAAGTTATTTAACTTTGCTTTATCGGTGAATCAGTTTTTTTTTATTTTTAACTTTTCCAGTATACAATATTTAGGTTTATTGTTTTTTAGCCGCATTTGTTTTATTGAAGGCGACTCTTCAGTTGTCACTACACTATTTCTGCAATGTTTTTTGATTGTTTTTTTTTTTTTTATTGACAAATGTCCATTTCAGGTGAGGTTCCCTTTTCTACTGTTCTCTTTTATGCAAGAGAAACTCATACATTTTTGTACAAATCTGTCTAAAACCAGGCGGCTTTGAATTAATTACATGACCGAAGAAAAGGCCCACGGTGAGCAGTAAAACATGTTTTTAAAGGCAGTGTATTTGTATACTAATTAATCTTAGTCCAAAATATTGCAGGAATAGGAGGGGTGGGAGTTGGGGTGGAGTGTTGTTTTTTTAGGGCGACGGTGGTTGTGTATTTTGTATTGCTAGATTTGGCCTTGAAATAAAGGTTGGTTTCAATTACATTTGCATCACTATTTATGGTTCTAAACCGCAAATATTCATAACTCTCAAATTTACATTTTTCTATGCTGCAAATGGGAAAATGGTTGTGCAGGTATTCTGGAACCTGTCCTATAAATCCACATGTACCAACAATGGAATCAGTTTTTCTTTCTTTTTTTTGTCAAAAATTACTTCTATTTACCTTTTTTTGAAAAAGACAACCCTTTCCCCCCCCAAAAAATTTTCACTGATTCTTTTTGATGTTTAATATGATGTTTTCCTTACTTAGCACTATTTTGAAAATGAATGGTCTTTGTTTTCATCCATAATTGGCTGTGGAGTTAAGATCATTAAAAAGAGACTAAAAGAAAAATCTTCTGAGTGCTTTGGACTCAGATACCTGGCAAAATGTCATCCAAATTATTAGAGAAGCAATGCACATTGAGCCAGAGTTCTCAGCACAGCCCAGCTTCATGGACCTTCAAAAGGTTTAAAAATGTGACTTTTATTCACGTGTCAAGAAAACAATCATTAAACAAACATAGCTGTTGAGTTCACAAATTAATTCCTCTATACATAAAGTGATCAGATTAACAAAAAAATAAACTATTGAAATAAAATTGCAGAGCTCTAAGCAAACTGGACACATTAAAAAAAATAGCACATGAGCATCATTCATTCATATCATCATTCTTAATTCTTAAAAAAAAAAAAAGGAGGTGAAACAATATCTACTTTAATCAGGTTTGTTTTGCTACGTCTTGATTTGTGTTTATGGTGAATCACTGTTAAAATCACTCAGTGTTTTTGTGGTGTTTGTTTGTGGTTTGTGTAAGAATGTGAATCCAGGCTGCAGATGCTGCACAGGAAACTCCTCCAGCACAGATGTTCTACTCATTATCAAACTTGCTGTATGGGTGGTCCGAGTCTCCGATCAGACCTGTACATAAGGAAGATGCAGAAAGTGAAAATGCAGAAAATGAAAACAGAGAAAAAATGTTTTGCCTTAAAATGCTTTGCAGTTGCCCAGGTTTTGTTATTGGTAAAAAAAAGTTCTATTAAAACTTCGTCTTGTTTCTGTTCCTTCTATAATGTTCTTACTTCCTCTTTTACAGGGCTGTGACTGCAGACTATGGCCATTCATGTGACAGCTGAGGGCACTGGCTGTTTATAAACTGTTTATAAATTTTCCTGAACACTAAATTGCACAAACAAACACTATAAGACAAACAACATATTTTAATGTTCAGAACACAGTGATTCCCTGCTTATAAATGTTTCTGATTTAAGTGTTTTTACATTTTAAGTTTAGCTCACAACATTACCAGTAGTCACTGTAAAATATCATAAAGTTTTTTAACAATACAAAAAGAAGGGATATTTCTCCATCTGGATTTGAACTAGCTACACAAAGGTTACAGCGCTACCTGTTGACTTGACTAAAACAACACTGGCACATGTTGAACCTGAAATAATAAGAACCCATAAAAGACAAACTGAACAAGAACCATGGTGACCTCATTATTGTGGGGTACCAGAAGTTCTTATGTATTGTTCAATGAGTAAAGGACATAAACAACATCGTGAGATTTAATTGACAAATTGTTTCAACTGTTTTTTTGAAAGACCCAAAAAACTGTGGACAACAATTTTTTTAGCAATAAGAAAAACATTTTGTAGTTTTAAATCTTAATTTTTGACAAAATATAAATCGATTGGTTTACTTTACCTTGCCTTAGTAAAGAGCAAGCAGTAATGTTTTGAAAAGACTGATTCTAAACTTCCAACACAAATATCGCTTTGTCCATATTTTTTTGAGTGCACATCTAATTGTAAGGTAGAAACAATCAAAAATGTATTTAAGTGCAAGAGGTTGTAGAGTACATGATTTTTTGACAGGCTTCTTTGTTAAAACACAAATTGCTGCCGCAACTGCTGTTTCAGCAAGGCGACAAAAAAATTTGACACTGGCGCTTTATAAATTATGCCTAAATTGACATTATGTTTAAAGTGGACTGAACAGAGAGGAGTTATCCTTGACATGACCTGGGTTTCCTACCTCAGGCAGTTACTACTGAATAAAACATTCCTGGCGTTGTGCAAGGGAAATGAAAGTCAATGAGATAGTCCTAGAAAAATAGGAGAAGAAAAATCTAAAGCCAATTCAACATGAGACAAAGCTGATGTACAGAGAAGAGAGAGGCTGGCAGTATGTCCTACACCGTGTTAGATTTCCTGATCTACTCCAGTGCAGCAGCTTCATACATCACAGTGAGAGACATGCAGTGAGCCTAAGACTCTTATTAAAGAGACTGGATGGAGTTAATATGATAATAGAGAGTGATCACAGCCAGGATCGTACGTACCATACTTCCTGCGAATCTCATCGTGTCGTGCCTTCCTCTCCACTTTCCTGTAGATAAAAAAAAACATATACAGTATATAAGTTAATTTTTCTCCAGAGACTAAAGAAATCTTCAGCTTGTGGTTTTGTGGAGGCAGAGCATTTTTGTCAAGTATGGATCTCCTAAATAGATTTTTAAATCGGGTGTAATTTGTCCAGCTAACCTCTGCTCCACATAGGTGAGGCAGAATTATACCTTCATTATCCATGGTAAGCATCTTAAACCCTGTGTGAAGCAGATGCCAGAGATCTATTTAACTCTGCATTTTAATGTGTGTGCTGTAGTGAGCTATAGAGGAAAGTGTCATGGATATTGATCCATGTTTACAGAAGCCAATAGAACAGAGTAAGCATCAAAAGCCTATGTTTGATTTAACATCACCAGCTCAACATTATCTAACATTCAGTATGATGGTGGAAACACACAAAACGTAAAATATTCAATGTCAGTTATTAAGACAATTCTTATTAGGGATCCTAGATACATGTTTTCAACACTTAGGTCATTAAGCCATTTTTGTTTTTTACTATAAACAATTTATTAATTTTTTAAACTAAGGCTAGGCTAGCTAATGTTGACACTGATAGCTATGTAGCTATACATGCTGTATGTATATACATATACACTGTATACATGCGTATACAATATATACTATACATATATTTAAAATTTTCCCATTGTTGAATATCAACAACATAGACAATGTTAAGTACTGTATGAATTTCACAAGACTGTTAAAAGCCAATAACCTCATATATTCAAGGACATTCGGCCCTGAAGCCCTGTCAGTATCAGACTCTGACCTTGAAGACCATCTAGGACCTACATGTGAGGTACAGCTCACAATGGCAGGTGTACACTGTTCTCTGTCAATGCTCCAGGCTTCAACACATGAATGGTAACGAACTGCAGAGGTAGCAGGTCAGTTAGTGTCAACTAAACCAACTAACTACTCCATTATGTTCAAGTAAAGTGCTGCCTCTATTAATAGACTGACAAACCTTCAGTAAATGTACAGAAAGGAACTTGTATATACATACATACATATATATATTGATAAAAATATATAATTATATAACTACTTCTCTACTTTTCCCATTTAGTGGTTGGTCTTAGAACGCAACTACCGCAATAGGAGAAGGCTTACTCTAATCATTTATTTTTATTTATATATGAATATACACTATGCACGGATATACATATAGAAATATATATTTAATTATATTCACAAAATGATTAAAGTAAAGAATTGTCAAATGGAAAAGCTTTCTATTTACTTCAATGGAATGGAAAATAATACAACCCTACAGCTACAAGTGAAAAACATGTTACCATGAGACCAAGATATGGAAGATCAAAAATATTAAAAAAGAAAAAGTATCAGTTTACTTTAGTAGCTCCTACTTAATGACCTCTCTTTTTCATCTTGTTTTCTTAGTGTTGGCCTTCTGCTCGATGCCCAGCCTTTTGGGGGACTAACAAAAGTTTGGGAGGAGTTAATCTAAAGCTCTAAACCTCCACAAACTGCCACTTCATTTCATCTTATCACAAAAAGCTGGAGTAAATCCATCAGCCTTTTATTGCCAGGTAGTGATCTGTGACAAATCAGGGCTGCTCCACTCTCTGGCTGCCATCTGTCCCCTTCGCCCCACCCTGCTAAAGCCTTGGATAAGGCTGATTGATTGACATGTTTTAAACATCCACCACATAAATACGTCGTCATCCAACAAGTGGGACATGAAAAGAAAAGAAAGGACGGAATTTTTTCAAGTACCTAGATTCAACACAGTAGATGTGAGAAGTGGACGACAGAAAGCCTCACTACAATGGGTTGTCTAAGGATCTTCTCTACACACACACACAAACAAACACGAGGGCGTGCACTCTCTTTCTCTCATGCTGTAAGGAGTCAGAACATCAGACCAGACTTGTGAGAACTAATATGACTCATGAAGATGCCTCCGCCCATTGTTTTGCAATATCACCGTCATAATTACACAACACAGCAGAGGGCTTTTATTTTAATACATTTCAAATGAATTATGTAAAATGCAGACAGCGTGTATGAGCAATCTTGTACAGGAGGCTTTAAAAGACCTCCTTTAACCTCATTCCGTCTTAGTTCCTTGACTTTAAATTACATATGTCTCAGACTGCTTCACTGTTATTGTTCCCATCAGTACAACATATAATATACCAGACCACTGGGTCAGGAGTCTTTTGAGGATTTTTAATACAATATACATTGTGGTGCTTATTACAACATATTAAACTTGTTTATCATACATAAGCAAATTTAGCTCCTTAGAAATGCCCTTCATAGACACTAAAGACATTTTTGTCATTTACTGAGTGACCAAACTTCATTTTAAGTATTTCAGGCAAAGACTAAAATTGTTCTGTTATTCTGAAAGAAAACAAAGTTTTATTCCTGCACATCAGACTATAATGTATGCAGGAAGTTTATAAGTGAGATACTTTGTTGTGATTTGTGTCGAGTTAAGATTTAGTCCCGTCTCTGGAGCTCATACTGCAATGTCTACGTGCACTAAAACCTCCCACCATGGCTTTTTCCTCTGTGGATTTCTCCTTCAGAGCACAGACCTCATCTATGTAGGTCACTGCACTTAACTAAGACTTAGGGGACTTGATGGTCCTCACCACAGGGAAACCTGACTAGATCCTGTGAGAGAAAAGCTCAAGGAAAGATCTTTGCAGGCTCCTTGCACAAAGAGAGCGAGACAGTGACCTGGGACTCTGGTGTTCCCGGCAGTGAAAGTGATGATGAACCACTTACAGTCAGTCTTTTGTACACAAGTGCACCGTTTACGAACACATCATCGGAAACTGACTGCACTGTGGAACACAGGCAGCAATGAGAGCGATGAAGCTGAAACATTTATGAAGAACCCAACGTGTAAGGATTTCCAGGGTCTGCTGACTGACTCAGTCACTATCACACTGGCTGCTCGACTGCTGATAAAACCAGCAGGATGTGGACCACTCTATTTATGACCTCATTGCCAAAGAGCAGCTGCACAGCTTTGTATATCCATTCTGCAATATTAGATGAGTTTGGGGGAAACACTGAACTCCTCCTTTGGGATATGGACTCAAACACCAGTTGCTTGGATCCGAAACGTACAACTGACCTCTTTGTTTACTACTATGAATGTACTGTTGCAGGAAATACCTGCGGGTTTGGAAAGCCATAATATAAGAAGCAAATGAGTGACAACATCGGTGAATCTTGAGATTAAATCACCAGATTATCTGTATCACACCACCGATATAAAAAATATACGTAAATACTTTTCTTCTGTTTATTTGTATTAAATCTACAGATACAGTATTATCTTAAATTCCAGTGTTAATGTTATTCACTGCCAATACACCAGATTTATGCCGTTCATATATCACAACTTTTGCTCCATTGAGTTTGCATTGTCCTAGTGAAATAAGTGGTTTTCGGAAAAGTAGAGACACAAAGGGAAATCCCCCACACACTAACCCCCCTGCACAAATGCACCAACATGTTTTTATTATTATTTTTATTTACTCCTTTTTAAAATTAAAAATTTAAATTCTATGCAGTTCATTTTCTCATTATATGTAGCTTAAATTGTGAAAATATTAGTGCTGTAATCTGGATGAACTGTTGATGACTGTTGCGTTTCCCTGTGTGGCTGTGCTGTTCTAGTAGCATGTATGCTTTGCATGTTTTCTTGAATTTAACAGGCTTCAGCAAAACATCATCATTTCAGAATCAAGGATGTTTTGGTGCACAAATGTACATACTGATGAAAATTATTCAAATACTGACACAAACAAGCGCCTGATATGGAACAAGTTTTAAATTTGAAGTTAAAAGAAAAACTAAATTATACAATCCAAACAAACATGGATACCACAGGGTAAGAATATCTTGTAATACAATCTGGTAATAAGAACACCTTTACTTGAGAGACATTCATAACTTAATTGCTTCTAAAGTGAAGTCCTCAAAATGTATCTGTGCTAATTTAATGGTATGTGACAGCTCAAGAATGCTCGAATTATCACTTCAATATGGGCCTGAGCTGAACACATAATTCTTCAAATACTTAAATCATGAATGAATTCTGCATCAATCTAAATGTTAGGGTTGGGGGGATGTTTTTGTTTTTCTTACAGGTTGCTGCATGCTGAGTAAAAGTGGCCTTCAGGTCAAATCTGACATACATTCAGTGATGCAAGAAATCCCATACCTTTCGTCAGAGCGCTGTTTGATCTCCTCTTTCCTCCTGTTGTAGGCCTCATCCTCTCTGTCAAAGCTAAGATAAAGGACAGTGTCACATTCACAACTGTTCATAGAACCTGACTTCAATAACTCTGTAGTGTTTGGAGCGGGGCTGTAACACAGATTTAACAGTATTTGACAGTGTTCTCTGCAACTACTCTTCTTTAGAGTGTCTGGTTTTAGTTTGTTACAAGTGACTCTGGCATGGTTTCTGTGGCTCTTTTATGGGTGAGTTGGTTTTTGGATTAAAGCAAACATTTGTTTTGGTCTTTCTGTCTATTGTTCTGCTCAAATCTGAAACAAATATGTTGGACCTCAATAATAGCCTACTTGACCAAACTAAGCATCTCAAAGAAAATAATTAAAAGAAAATTATTTGCACTTCAGAGCTTTTTGTTCTTTTTGTTGTGGTGTATTCTTACCGGTGCCGACTCTTCTTGCAGTAGCAGCAGTAACAGCAACACACCACAATGCTGAGCAGGATGACTCCCCCGATCACACCCAAAGTTATGATGAGGGCCTCAAAGTTCACTGAATCACAAAACAACACAGTGTTACCAAGAGATTGTTTTGTATAAAATAATACAATTGCTTAAACAGTGTATTTTTTTCTCCTGTAATGAATAAGAACAGGTAAGTCTAACAATGTGGGCCTATCAAGAGATAGGATTATAAAATCCTTGACAATGACGCCACCTTGTGTCTTCTTTCTAAAAGTGCAAGTCTTAACATTAAAATTCAAATCAGATACTGTAGGATGGAAATTCCCCTTGCATTAACCTTTCTGCTGGTTGACTGCGAACAACTGATGATGTTTACTGCTGGTTGACTGCGAACAACTGATGATCATCAATAATATGTCGGTGACAATAATAGGTATAATAACTGTTTCTTCTTCACCTTAATTTGAAATGTTTCTACAATGTCCAAGTGATGATGTATTAATCATTGTTTGAGTAAGAAAAGGTTTTTTCTACTTCTTCCAGAAATGTTGCATTATGCATGGATGATATATTCTAAAAGGGTCAGTATGAGCGGAAGAATCTTAGCTGTGAAAACACTAAGAATGCTTTGAGTTTCTGAGGCGGACAAAAAAAAAAAATGGAAAAAAAAAAGAGCAGTAAGAGTCACAATGTGGCTCTTTTTTGGTGGTTCCCATTTTTTCTTTCACATTAAACAAATGAATTATGATAATGTTCTAAAAATCAACATTGCAATAAGGTGTGACCGTGGTGTTTGTCAAGTAGCACATGATGTTCAACAGTCAGCTTAAGGCTTTTTTTGTGTAAATAACACAGTCTTGAAGGTTATTTCAGAGAATTGTATTTACTAGACTTGTAGCGCTTGTCTCACATAAAATCATAAAATCTCACAACACACTCTTTTATGTTAATCATGTCAAAGAAAAGTGAACAAGCATTGATAATATTACACTCACGCCAACACATTCCCCATCGGGCCTCTGCAAGTGGACATAGTGATGGTGGGGGCAGCAGCCAGCTCACTGGGTAGTCTGTGCAGTTGTTAGTGGCAAAACACCACAAACACTGAAGATCAAACAAAAACAACAGGTCTAATGGAGTAAAAAGTGTTTCTCTGATTCCATATCCCTGTTATATGTGAGTGTAGACACAGCTTTTGTAACTTTGGGTTGATACATGAGAAATCAATTGGAATTTAGATGTTTCTATTTGCAATGATTTAGTTATTTTAAGCAATCCCACTGTAGTTAACAAAGCCAGTTTGATAAGATCCATAAGAGGTTTTTGTTACAGCATCACAACAAACTTTTCATCTAATGTTTAAATATTTGATCAAAATGGGGCTACATTCAAGTATGTGGATTAAGTCACTGTGTACTGTAAGTCTGACTCAGAGTGTCTGACATACTGTAGGTACCACGTGTCCTTGTCACGCATGTCTGACCACAGTTCAACTTTGCACACCCTCCGCACGGAACAATGCTTCAAGTTTGTTGTGCGGTTGTTACCAAGCTGGAAAACACTTACCGTGTCGTGTTTTATTGAAACACTTTCAATAACAAACATTTTAAGTTTTCCAAAAACAAAAAAAATCTAAATTTGGCTAATTAATTATAAATCTACCAAACCAAAAATTGCTCCTACCCCGCAGTAATGTTGGTTGGCTTTTTACTTCTGTGCCTGTGCACAGAAGTAAAAAGTATAAAACTTAAAAGATTGTAAAACGATGTTAACATATTAAAAAATACTTGAATTCCACATTTTTCTATACACAGATGTCTTCCCTGCAATAAAGAGAGTCACAGTCAACACAACAGTTGAGAGAATAAGGACCAACACCCTTGCAATAGCCCCAAGTAGTAAAGTTTATTAGTTTGCTTAACAGCGACTTTAAACAATGGTGTTGTTAATTGCATGTCTCATATGTTATACACAGGTACAGCTAGTAGGGAAACCTTTACAGCTAGTAGGGAAACATTTATAAATTGTATCTGCTTTTTGCATAAACATATTATTTCAATAGTTGAAAATAGTTGGTTTTCATTGAATGTTTTGCTATGATAACAAATAATCTGCTCTGACGTGAAAGGTTAAGGTACAGAAAGACAAGGGACAATTAAATTGTGATGTTCATCATTTTCTGAACAAAGGCCAAGTGATTAATTTACACAATGTACTGATATTGCTGGCAGTCTTACCTTGGCATGTGGGGCACAAGAGTCGCAGTCTTTGAAGGCAGAGCAGGCTGGAAAGCCGAGGAAACAGAAACTTAACTTCACTTCACCCAAGCGTCACAGCCAAATTGTGACGTATTTACCAAATACGTGCTACTTTCCAGCTATTCTGTCCTCTTATTCTTGTGATTGATTATTAAAAGATTAAACAGGTAAAAACTTGAATATTTAGTCACCTAAAATCATTTAATTCAACTTACGCGTTGGAGGCGGTGGTGTTGTTTGGCATTCCCCTAAGCTAACGATGCTAACGAACAACGCAACGGCAACAAGGGAAAAGGACATTTTTAAAATAAACTCATAGGACGAGTATATAGAGAAATCTAACACGCTGAGCAAGTGTATAAATATCGTTGACAGAATACTTTCAACGCAGAAACGACTGCTCTAGTTTTGTTTTGCTATGCGTCTGCTGTCACTTCCTCCGTGTCTGAAATGGGGGTGCGCGTTTCGCCAAACCCAGGCATTCCAGGCGGGAGGAGTTTGATAGCCGTCGTTAAACAATAAATAAAAATCATGTGGTGGCCGCCCCACTTTTTTTATTTAAGCATTTATGGTTAGGTCAGAGTATATCTGAAAAACAAAACACGTCGCTGTTATTATTATTATTAGTGTTATTATTTTTAAAAAAGAGTTTAGCTTATTTCAGATAATATATGACTTCTAAAGTATTTTTCCCAAAACGTAAACTATTAAACTATTTACAACGTAAATGTTTTTCTTTCCACTGTTTGTGAGCTACATTTGATATGTCTTATTGATTCATAGCTATACACAACGTCTACTACGTCTAGGCAATTTATTTACATTTTGGCTTACAGTACAATCAGATTAATATTTGTATTTATTGTGTTTGTTATTTTATAAATATTATGCCAAACACTATATGACATATTGCTATATGATATTCATTTTTTTTATCTAAAATGAATATCATATAGCAATATGCAATCATATAGCAATATGACCAAAAACAACCAAATCATATCTTAATGTCATTACAAATTATAATCAGAACGAAAAGGGATTTTTTTTTTCTCTTCATTCTTTCAATGTCCATCATTTCCTTCCCTGCATTTAATCTTATTTTTTCCTCAATATGCCACCCGTAAGTTTACCTCTATTTTCTCTGGTAAAGGCTAATAATCAGTTCAGCAATATACTCCAAACATGTATATCACCTTTCTAACCTTAAAGACCACTAAAGTGCTTTGCCCCTCAGGCTATGATAAGAGAACTGAGCTTGTGTTCATCCAGCATCAAACATCCTCATTTACCACTGTTTCTCAATGGTGGTTTTAAATGCAGGGGACATCGTTTGTTGTGTTTATCTGTCCGTATAAGTACAATCGCCAATCAAACTGATTATTCTTCTAATTCCTTTTTGATGTGCCTATTTCAAATACCAGGTATTTGACCTGTATGCATGTTCATTCTCGAATGTAGCCCACAACCGAATCCACAAAATCTGTTGCACCTAGTTCACCTAAAGTGTTATGGAGAACCGAACGTTTATCCTTATTTGTACAGCGAGTACATAATATTGACCAAAAGGTGGCGGTAAAGGCTCACAGAAAGCAGCCAATCCCTCGGAACAATCAATCAGATGAAGACTACAATTTCGTGGGAATGAAAGAAGGAAGAAAGTGGTGATTTATGGAAGCATCTATTTTAAGCAAACATGTCTGCACTGTCATCTAAGATATACCAGGGTGGCATCTGTTAACATATCGAAATGATGATTGAGAAGATTAAAAAAAAAAAAATTCCCACCTTCCCTGAAGTGCATCCTCGGGCTTCATGTCAAAAATAAAGGATGTGAATCAAAGCCAGCATTTACTTTCCTTCATAGTGCATGCCGCTTTTGAAGATGGAATTTTAATAATGCCACCATTCATGCCAAATGGATGTATTTAGTCATCAGTTATCTATGAATGACAGATATGTCGTTATCTTTGCAGATTTATATGAGGCATGTTTGATATTCACTGACAAATCTCTTATATTTAGCATCTGTTCAAACTGTGATCACTTTCCCACCAGCTCTCCATCTGGATTCTTTATTGCTACACCTTGTTTCCTTGCTTCTATCCTCTGCTTTAATTAATTCTCTACATTACTTTGCTCAGTGGAGTGTTTATTGTCCTTTTTAAAGTTTGTTTAAGCCTCACAAACCCTACATAGACGGTACAGTAAGAGTTGGTTTTATGCTTACAGATTCTTACCTCATTACTCTACTCAGATATTATACTTCGTGGACTGTACATTGGAGAAATGTACTGTATCAAAACTGGTGATTTATTATATTATGAAATACAGGATTTTCAACAATCGTCCCATTATACATTTTCTAAGTTATTAAAACCTGGCACGTTAGATCTTTTCTGCCTTCCATGTTTATCCAAATGCTAATTTTATAGTTAGGTTGTTTCACTGAGGCAGACGAGAACATTTGTTCTTGCAAAAAATGCCAGTAATGTAATGGTATGGTACTTTTCCATTTTTTTTCTGTTTTTCTTTTTTTCAAATCGAAGCTCTGGTAGAATAACCAGAGCTTTAAAAAGTTTCCATTCACTTATTGACGCCCTATTAAACATTTGGTAAGCACATTGTTATTTGCACACTCTGGGAAAAGTTGTATTTTCATGGATCACCTTGAGGGAATAAATACAATCTCAAGTCATGGCATCTGTCTGTGGAGGCTTCAGTATCAGATCAAACTCCTGGCTTGTGTCAAGCCAGCCTTATTGAGTGTAACTTAGTCTATTCCTGAAAAGCTAACTATAATAATCACCAAATGGTTTGCAAAGGACTTACAGTCCTTTGATTAGAAGTTTTAACATAAGGTATCATGACACCACAATGCAACATACTGTCTCTGTTAATTTTGAGAGAAATAAGTCAATAGAGCAGAATACAGAAGCAGGTAATTATTCTACCTACCAACTTTTGTGTATTTTTATAGTTTTTGTAGAATAACCTAATTCAAATTTTTAGCATATTTAATTTTTTTTTTTTTTGGTCATATAAACAGACAGAACCTAACACTGAAGCATACATTTGTTTGTTTAAAAAAAAAAAACCCACTTAGACAGCAGACCTGAAGTTGGTGTTAAATTCTGATCATGAGTCAGTCTGGTGAAAGTTTGCTTATGAGCCCCAAAACCAATCAGCAAGAGGAAATTTTTATTTAAACAAGGTTTTAGCCGCTCTGGTTTTCCAAAGATATTTTGCATTATGCAACATTTAATAATGTGCTTTGTTTAGCTTGAAGTCTGCTCAAACACAGCACCCTCAATTGGTTCCCATTTTAGAAACAAATGGCCTTCATTACCCCGGAATCTCTGGCAGTAATCCAGTGATTTATCTTTCTCTACAACTCTGTCAATGAGACAGGGTAAAACTGCCGAAGCAATCCCGGTGCCATTAGCATTTTGTAATTAAATTAAACCGCACAATGGGTTCTATTTACTCTATTTAAGTGTCCGAATCCACTTTTGGTCGTTTAACAGCAGAGGAAAAAAAGAGTTTCTGTGCCAGGTGCATGGTTTAAAGGAGTTGTAATCAGTCTCTTAATCATGAAAGTACTTTGGGCTGTAACATGCAATAAACCAATCAGCGTCCTAATGAGAACATTTTTCTCATCAAAGGGAAACGTGTCACCTCATAATATAGCAGATTGTCTGTGTAACAAGCATAATAGGAGAAATTGCTTTCCTTATGCTTTTGATTGTGATTTAATACTACTCTTGTTTTCCTGTCATGATCTCTGTGAACCTCTGAACACTGTGTGGGCTAAAACATTCATCATGGCCATGATAATAATACATAACTAATAGGTTATGAAAAATACATATTAAAGTTGATAAATGGCCACCCATCACTAGTAGACCCGGGACTTCTAGTTCATTTAAGTATATTTTTGCTTCCAGTATTCTGCTAGTCTGCCAAATGTGTTGCAAAAAAGGACACATTGACATGTAGTTAAGGGAAATAAAAGGAAAAGGAAACTCTCCTGACTCCTGTGGCTTTGTTCTGCCCTGTGTTCGGGGCTCTTTACACCTACATTCCAGGAGCACAGTTTTGTGGCTTTCTTCCCAGTCTGCTGATGTTGGCTATTTTAACTTTTTTTTTTAACTTCTATGTCTACTGCTAGTCATTTTTTTTCTGTGATGGTTAGGGCTCTACTACCATAAAGAATAAGAAGCAGCACACTTTGAACAGGCCGTCGTACCAATTTGGCCACAACAGCAAAGGTCATGACCACATTCAAGATTGGTCTTCAATTCAGACTAATCTCCAAAGTGAACGTTTAGGTATTTGGATGTTTGAAAAACCAATGTGCACATACAGGAAATATAAGCAAATTCTGGGGACGTGGTCCAAACAGTGCTATAGGCTGTGAAGCGACAACGCCATCTACTGAATAAAGTCATATGTTTATGAGAACGCAGTGGTTGCAATTTGAGGACCACTGTCGGAGAAATAATACATTTACAATAATTAAGTCAGACATTTACGAGAATAAAGTTTTAACTATATGAGAATAAAGCCATGGGATTAAAGTTGTTTAACTAATAAACTCTTAAATGACTTTGGTCTTATTGACTTATGACGTTATTCTCATAAACCTATGACTTTATTCATGTGAACTCACAACTTTAACTGGTTATGTTATGACGTTATTGTAATAAATGAATAACTGTTTAATTTAAGTGATTCATGAAATTTTTTGTTTGCACACAGTTTGTCTTGTCCCTTTATCTTTTTATCTATATTTGCTGAGGTCAGTGTAATACAGCAGCACAAGGATGACAAAGGTTCACAACTTCAGTCTAGAGCAGGTTCCTGTGTCCTGAGTTATCAGCATGCAGACCATGTGACACCTCCCTTAAGCTCAGCTACCCCCTCACCCCCCGCTCCCTCCAATCCACCCTCTCTTCTTTTCTTCCCCATGCTCTCCCATTGTGCGTCTCCCTCTCTCTCCTTCTCCTCTGGCTCAGTGGTGTGTTTCCAAGAGATAAGACCCTTGCTCATTTCACACATGAGCAGAGTGGAGTTGGGTAAGGCTGTCACTGTGTACGTGTGTGTGTGTGTGTGTGTGTATACACCTGTTTTTGTGTGCATGTGTGTGTAGGTGTGCGTTTGAATTTGCATGCCCGTGTGCATGTTGAAGGTTAGGGAGAGAAAATTGAGAGAACTGACTTTGACTTGAAGTTTCCTCCACCACCTCCTTTACTTTGAGCCTTCTATCCTCCCACAGTACAGTGTTCAGTGCTCTGAGGCACAAGGTTAAAATACATTTGATTTTATCTTTACAGTCTTGCTTTGCTCATTTTTCTAAATTCAATAATTTATGTGTGTCTGATTTTGTTTCAGGAGGGCTCATTCATTTACTTGGAGGACACTGAGGATGAAGGAACATCAAGGTTGTAAAAAAGACATTTATTTTGTG